TTGGGGTTCTCTTTGGTACTAAGTATACTTTGGAGTAACACATGATCATATGCATTGTATATAATGTATGTTGATCCCACGTGTTCCCTTCATTCCAATACATTATGATCGATTATTATTAATTGTGCAATTATTTAATTATCGTCGCAGTGTTTTCGACAGGCAGTTGCAACTAGAATATTGCTAAACCTTTCAACATAATTTTAATACAGGTGAAGTTAATTCCACAATGTAAATTGAGCTCATATTTTTAAAGGTTATGACATTCTCAGGGCCGGTGGAAATTATCCCCTCAACAATCGTTTCAGATCCTCTCCAATAATTAATAATTTCCAGTCAACAAAATCTTTGATTCCAGTAAAATTTCCTGTCGCAAAAATGTCTACATCACTAGCGGAGCAGCTGCAGAAGCTGCGAGTGCCTCAAACGTCATTATTACTACAAGATAAAAAACGTCCGAGTCTTCTGTTTGATCCCAGAGAGGCAGCAAATCTCGATCGTGAAACAGTTTTCAATATAGGTAATTAATTAAGACTTCTCAGGGTAAAATATCAGCGATGAATAAAACTGTAATTTGTTCCCAGGTAAAAATGGTCTGGAGGAATTGATAAAGCTGTCCAGTGTATTCAAGGAATTTGAGGCAACTTTATTTGCCCAGAGCTCAATAAACCTAGAACGTTCAGTGCACGATGCAAAAGTGAATAAACGGTTGGACGTAGGAATAGAAAAATTCCTCATCTTCTTATCCCCTTATTTCCTCCTAAATACAGCCCATAAAGCGCTGGAGTGGCTGATCTACCGGTTTCACATCCATGAATTCAACAAGGATGCATTTCTCATGCTGATTATGCCATACCACGAGACCAGGATGTTTGTGAGAGCTCTGCAGTTGGTGGACCTGAAGAATCAGGCAGATAAGTGGCACTGGCTGCAGCCTCTGCAGAGGCCTGGGGTCCCCCTGTCCACGATGACCCTCGTGAATCGAGTTTCGGTGGACAATGCCCTCCTCAAGCTGCTTTGCAATCATGTGGTGCAGGCCACAGCTGTTTACAACGATGAAGCTTCTTGCTTGAGCACTCTTTACGCTTTCTACACGACATCCATCATCGGGAGCATCGAGAGAACCCAGAAAATATCTGAAATGCAGATAAACTGCCTCCTTCCATCCCTGGTTAAAGGCCTTTCCAGCACCGTGACAGATTTTCTTGCTGGGAACTACATGATTCTTCTGCAATTGTGCAGGAAAACCAAACTGACTGA